CCCTCTGTGCCCTCGCCCCGGCTGTGCCCCGCAGCGCCCTCTGTGCCCTCGCCCACGGGGCTCTGCCACACAGGAACTTCCAGACCAAAGTGCAAGATGGGGCCAGCTCCCAGGGGCACCTGGTTAACCGCCTCAGCCCTCTCCAAGCTGAAGAATGAGCATGAGGCTTCTCCTAAGGCTTATTAGGGGAAAAGACCAAGGTGATTTTCACAAAATCTTGGGAGATATTTGCTGTCCAAATGTCAAAACTGTAACATCACTTATTTGAAATATCAGGTCTAATATGGGTGATAGCAGTAAAGTCAACTTAGAGCACTTTACTAGTAAGTATACTGCCAGCTGGGAAAAGTAAGGGAAAAAAGGAAGACATGCAGGCACACTTAACACAGTAAAAGTTTTAAAAGAACACGCCCCACTGACATGGGAGGGCAGTTCGGGCATTCCACTGCTGGCGTGCCATGTGCGGAGGATGACGCAGGGCTCCTTCCAGCCCTCTAGCATTCCCGTTACCGGGTCCCTGTCCCCCAGCAATATCCAGGCTGCCCCGGCGAGGCGGGTGTGCGAGCCGTGGCTCGGGAGGAGCATCCCCACGTGGGCCCCTCTTCCGCGAGCGTCTCCTCGGGCCTGCTGCGCCCTCTCACCCCTGGGACAGTGTTATAGCAGGTGAACCAAGCCCACTGCAGCTCCTGACCAGCCTGGGGCAGCCCAGCAAAAGCTCAGGAGATGAACACTCCTGTTTTCCTTCCATTAGAAGGAAAATGGTTTTCCATTTTCTCAGGGCTTCATTTCTATCTGTAAGTCAATGTTTTTGCTTGATTTTGGGTATCCCTTCTCTAAGAAATACTCCTGCAGACCAAAGCCTTTAATGCATTGTCTGGTCCCCACAGCGATCCCCAGGGATCCCCAGGTGCTGCTTGGTGAACAGGATGAGGACTCCGCCCTCAGCGCGACATTCTGCCTCTGCTCCTTCTCAGTGCTTGATTCCTTTTTCTACTGGGAGACTTTGCCACTTCATGTTGCCTAAAAATTATCAGTGTCCATCCCACTATTTCCTAGATGCAAATTCAGGCAACTTGCCCTCCTTCCTCTCTGATGCCAGTGTCCCAGTCATTGTCACCCAGTCATTGTTAGGCTGGAGTGTCAACTGCTGCTGTGTGCCGGGGGGTGTCCTTGTTCTCCACCATGCCTGGCCTTGCCTCCCACACTCACTTGCTGGGGTGAAGTCTGTCCTGCTGTGGCACAGCGCCCTCCCCAGGTCCTCGAGGGCTGCCCTTCTGCCTGGCCCTGCCTGGCCCCATCATGCTTCTCACTGGTGCATAGACCTTTCACAGATGGTCTCCAGGGCAGGGCGGCGCCCACCAACACCCCAGTGGACTCAGGGAAAGGCAGAATCAAATCCAGTGGATTTGTCTTTATACTGCTTCTCCCTGCTGCTGGCTCGTTATAGTTTCCTAACGCCCAGAACCACATCAGGAAAAAGAAGAACACCTAAGATATTAGCATTTAAACCTAACTCCTGTCATCATGAGGAAAACTTCTGACATTAAGTATTGATGTCAGATGAAAGAGGCAGTGCGTCCCTGGGACTGAGGGTGACAGCAGAGGAGAGGCAGGCTGAAAGGACAGGGACCACCCAGTAGCCACCGGGAACGCACACCGCCTAGGAAAGATGAGCTCAGCGTGCCCAGATGCCCAAGGGATGATGGCTTCCCGTCCCATCCCACAGAAGGGACTGCTGCAGATGGCTGGTGTGCCTCTTCTCCCAGCAACACGTCCTGAGGCCCTCCACGACACGCCTGACTGACAGTCCTAGAAAGATCCTCTATCCACTCTCCAAGTGACCTCCAGGCCCTCCCAGGTAGACCTAGATGCACCTAGAGTGGTCCCTGATATGCCTGTAGAGAACCCCGACACTCCTACAGTAGCTTCTGACACAGAAGTGGCCCCTGATAAAAAGCTTCAGTCCCCTAAGTGGGCCCTGATACACCTTCAGTGAACCCTAGTGTGCCTGCCATGGTCCCTGGTGCTTGCACAGTGGCATGTGACACATCTGAAGAGGGCCCAGCACACCTATGTGGCTCCTCACCCACCCAGCCAGCCCTGCCACCCTCACAGTGACACGCTTACACAGCCCCTGACACACAGAGACTCGTGACACACCCACAGTGTGCCCAGCACAAGGCAGAGAGAGACGGCCCTCCAAGGACCCTCGCATTTTTGGTACAGCCTGTGCACAGACCCCCCAGCTAACCTAGAACAGTAAGGGCCAGAGCTATTTTTGTTAAATGGAAAAGAGCCAACAGGTAGAGCTGGCATTTATTGCTGTCACACCTACAGGACTGAATTTCAACTGGAGAACTGTAAGGCCCTAAATTGGCTTAGATATATAGCATCAAATAATTTCATCGTAAGATAGTTACCTGCTTTTCCTGTGCCTTCCCGTTGGGGCAACTTTTCATTTATGGACCCTAAAAGAAGAAAATAAGGAATCGAATTATTTTGACTCTTAAAGGGTTATCAGTGAATAAAGCAGGCAACTATTTTATTTCATTTTGGCCAGTCATAGTACTTGCCCCTTTCCTGTTAAATTATGCAAGATTTCCCATGCCCAGAGGGGACCTCAGTCCACACAGTGACAGGCCCTGGACTAGGAACACAGAGGTCGCTCCTTTCTCTAGTGCTAAGCACTGGGACTGCAAACCCATTTGCCTAGCATGCGACGGCTGGAAAATGTGAAGAGGAGCCTTCGCACGCAGCCCCAAACTGGGGAGCTGAGCAAAGGAGGGCAGTTGGGGCTGGAAAACAGTCAGCAGCACAAGCGCCTGCCTGACAAGCACAAGGGCCTGAGTTTGATTCCCAGGACTCAAAAAAAAAGGAAGGGTAGTTTTAAAATAGTAAAAGTTATGAAACCACAGAAAATTTAAAAGCCCTAGTTTCAATGATTTTGAGCTTTAGAGAAAAAAATGGAGCGCACTTTTTTTTATTAGAATGCAGGATATTGTCTAGCTATCTTTTAGCAAATAATTTGTGAGGAAAATCATGCCCGTGCTATCGGCAGACACAAGGTGCGGCTCCTCCTTTCCTGGTGGGTTGAAACTGCCAGGTATGAGCTCCTTCTGTCCTCAGCATCCTACCTGTCAAAGCGACGGCAGCAGGTGCTGGGTAGCACTCAGCAAAAGCATCTCAGAACTTGCAAGGTGTCGACTGCCCTCAATTCTGACTGGCACCCTGAGGTGCAGACCAATGTCCATTAAAAATATGAGCTTTAGAATTTTTTGAGACTGTTTATGTGTCTTGGTGACACAGTAACGAGGCACTGGGGAGTCACAGGCTCCCCAGTGCATGCAAGGATCTGCCCAGGGAGATCCACAGTAGCAGAAGTGGGGCGGTGAGGTGCAGACGCCCCTCTGCGCGCCGACCACAGGAGGACGTCGAGAAGGCTTGCGGAGCCCCGGCAGCCACGCGGCGCATCACCAAGCGTGGTGCAGGGATCTCTTGGTCTCGCTCCCACAACAGTAGGGACCTTTATTTATACTTGTGCAAAGTTACAAGACATGAGGGTGCCTAGCACTTAGGAGCCCACAATGTCTTTTCTCAAGACTGAGGGAGCTTTGACCGCTGCAGGAAGTAAGAGCTCATCCTGCCCTCCCACGCGGAATCAAGTTCCAGCTCCCGTGGCTCCCAACAGCGTCACACACACGGAAACCCAGTCCTCCTGGGACAGCAGCGCCTGGCGGGGTGTTTCTAGGCCTCGGAGCTCCTGGTTGCATGCTCCGCAGCTCCCTGCTGTGGGCCTGACACCGCCCTGCTCCAGGCTCAGCGCAGGGTGTCCCTGCGGTGGGACCCAGCTGCTGGTGACAGCTCCCACAGCCCTCAGGTCCCTGTCCTCACTCTTGCCCGCATGCCCTCTCTCCAGAGCCACATTTTGCAGGGCTTGAGTTTCTCACCCCTCAGCTTATTTTCATCATGTGGCTGCAGTGGGTCAAAAACTATTTCTTCTGGCCGGAAACAACAGTATTTTAGTACTCTTCCTGCTCATTAGTATGAGGGTTTCAATTTGTAAGGAAAATATAAATATGGTAAATAATAATTAAACTACCCTTGCTTGTGAAAGAGCTGCTTGAGCACATTAAGATACATTTCTGTAATCCAAGAACACAGAAGTATAAACTGTGGACTCAAAATCTGATTAGGGACTGAGAGCAGAAAAGAGCACACAGTGATCTTGCCGGTTCCCCAAGCAGCTTCTCTCTGGGCCAGTGACCCCTTGCCTGCTCCTCAGTGCCTTGAATTCAACTAGCATTTTCATACTACACTTGTAGCAAAAGAATCCCATTTGTTGCTTCCTACGAGAGAAAAATGTCTACGACAGAAGCTTCGTCGAACGCTCCGTGGTCCAAACACTGCACCACGTGGACTCTGGAGGAGGTCCCAGTGGTCTTTCCTTGATTATCCAGCTGCCTGGGGACAAAGGACCCCTCACCCTGTGCCCACCTCAAGACAGCAAGGGGCAGAGGTGACCTTGGTGCCGGAGAAGGCGGTGTGCCTAGCGGGCCAGCCCAGTGCTGGGATGCTTGTCTGGGGAAGAAGGGGGGCCCTCCAGGGCTTGGCTGAGCTCAGCGTGCTGGAGTGGGGATCCCAAGGTGACACCACATGTGAGCCCTCGCCTAGCTCGTGTCCCCAGTGAAGGTGGCTGGGAGGGTGCCACCGTCCTGAAGGAGTGCCAGGGGAGGGCAGCTAAGCAGCAGGGCGCTGCCGCTGGGCACAGTGCACAGCATGCCTCCGCCACTGCCTTCGCTCCACAGAGATGCTCACCCACTGCGTACATTCTGTCCTGCACCGTGGGCTGAGCAGCCGGGGAGACAGCCTTGGGGAAATCAGTCCAGCCCAGTCCAGTCCAGTCCAGTCCAGGAAGACAGCACCACACAGAGGGCCGTCTGTGCCGCCCAGTGAGAGAACACCGCACACCATCTGGCCACTCTCAGCAAGAGCCACTCACCGCGTAGCCCATCCTGCGCATTCACTCTTTCAAGCTAGCAGCAGCCCACAGTGTGGGTGCCACGGGCCCACAGAGGTGGAAATCGAGGCCCCTGGAGGTAACTGTGTGCAGAGCCGTGGGCCAGGCTCGCTGCTGTGCCGCTAGCCCCAGAGCTAACTCTATGTGAGGACAATGGGGGAGAGCAGGTTCTAGCCTTGCAGCAGCGGAGAGCAGAGAGCAGAGGCCTGGGACGGGGCTGTCCGCAACGCTGGGGATGCAGCGTTCCTCTTGGCTACGGGAGCTCCCTCTGCAAGCCCTGGTCCATCCGAAGGTGTGTCTGTCATGTGAGGCTCTCTGGTCACCGCCTTCTCTGGCACCCCTGCCACACATCTGCCCCCTTGCTGTTTTGAAGCATGGGCAGTTCTCCCTGAGCAGAGGCGCAATGGAAGGACTGAGGAGAGGACTGGTCACTGGCCAGAGCTCAGGTCACTGGCTCAGACTCTGGACGTGCAGCTGACTCCAGGCCCCTGTGCCCACTCCTGTGCAGCCACCGGGCACAGAGAGATGGTTGTGCTTGAATGCACAGGGGACAGTGCCACTGAGCACGGGCCCTCAGTGGGTCCACATGTGTCCCCTGCACATTCCATGCTGTCAGAAGTTGACTACAAAGATGCCAAAGGGTCGGCAGGGTGGAGAAACAGCAAGAGCAGAGGAAGCTATATGATTTCTGAATTTCTGAACCTCAAAGCGTTGGGCCAAAGTGGTTCAGCCATGGCTCCAGGAGTGTGGGCCCCCAAGCCCTCCCAGGCCTGGCTAACCTTCACCTGTGCACCCCCAGACCAGCCCGCATGTGCAGAGTCTGTACTCTCTTCAGAGAGGATAGGCAAAGAGGGCATTTTCTACTTCTTATTGAAGTTGTTTTGAAATTTCCTTATCAGTACGTATTGGAGGATCTTGTCTTAATAATTATTTTTCAGTAAGAACTGTTAGACTTTAAGAAAAGTTCATCTGAGGGGAAATTATTTTAAAAGCAAATTTTTTCCTTATCCTTTCCAATCAGACCAAAGCAATTTCAAATTTGCAAGTTAGAGATCTTCACAGGGAGCAGTTCAGAGACCTCAGTGGCCGACCCCAGCTGGCTTGCTGACTTCGATATTTGGAAATGTAATTGTCTGGGATGCTGGGCATTTCTTTTCAAATCTCTCATCTATGTGAGATTCTTAGCTTAGCGCAGGCGCCATGCATTAGCGAAGAACAAAAAACGCAGGAGGCTTCTCCTTATGAAGTAAAAGTGTGCAGAAATTATTTAAAGTTCTCCTAAACTATTGTGTCACCGTCATGTCCTCTAGGAACCAACACTTCAGGCGTGTAAGAACACAAGTGTCACAGCTGCATTAAAGTCTACAATGTGGTGGAAGGTCGCTCAGTGCCACCCAGGTTTCTCCATCATCTGTCTGTCCTGAGGCTTCCCCATCCCAGGAGCCCTGGGATGAGCGGGCAGCGTGAGAGTGGAGTGGAGGGAGCACTGCCGGCCGCGCTGCCGTGGGCGAGTGGGCACCGCATCCTTCCCGCACAAAAGGCACTGGGCACAGGGTGGCCTCCTGCCCCCAGCTGGGAGGGGGCCCCCATCCTGCAGCTGTGCTGCCAGAGACAAGAGTCCCAGCCCTTCGCTGACCCTACGGTGCCAGTGCTGTTCTCTGTGGCTAAGACAGGGCCGGGTGGGTGCCCAGGCCAGGCCCCACAGTGCTGTGTCCATTTTCCTCTAACTCCAAATCTAAAACTTCCTTCAAAGACATCACTTTCAGGGGGCTCCATGGGGAGATTCTTTGGATATTGTAGTATTACAAAGTCTTGCATATTGGTTCCAGCTTACAACACCCAAGTCACTTCATACTCGGACCAGGAAAAAGCTCCGCCATGCTGCACACACAGAGCAGGGAGATAAGATTAGAGACCTAAAGCTGACTCCTGGTCATAGTGACTAGTCCGGCTACAAAAATCTTCCCTTGGAAACAAGCCCTTGGTGTTAAGCTCAGTTCCTACCTCCAGCTGTGTTAGTCTTTAAGTCTGTGAGAGAAGACAGAAGAAAGAAGAGAGAAGGGGAGGGAAGAGAAGAGGGAAGGAAGGAAAGAAGGAAGGAAAAAGGAGGAAGGGAAAGAGGAAGGAAGGAAGGAAGGAAGGAAGGAAGGAAGGAAGGAAGGAAGGAAGGAAGGAAGGAAGGAAAGAAGGATTCCTACCAAATAAACAGAAGCACCCCATGAGCAGAGGTGCCTGCCCTGGGTCCCATCCCCTCTCAGCACTGAGACATGAGGGAAATGTTAACAGGCTTCCTCAGATTTTCCTTGAATATTTGTGGTGCCAAAAGAAACCCCCTAAGCATCAAGCCAAGAGGTCTAGGTCTCCAGAACTCTGGGAACACATAAATCTCCAGCTATAAGCAAGAAACCCCTGCTCTTTGAGGTGCGAACCGTGAGGTATACTTGGGTGTAGTTCAGGTAGTGGCTCTGGGGTCCTCCAAAGGGCACAAGGGTGCTTGCCATCTGCCCCCAAGAATGTGCTCCAAAGTGCCTTTCGTCCTCAGCGCCCTGTCTATGTCCCATGTAACAGGGGAGTGGGTCAGGGCCCAAGCCTCTGAGGAGTAAATGGAGGGAGAGGCTGCATTCCCCTCCCTGTGCTCAGAAACTGTCTTTCAGGCGGGGAGCTCCCTGCTCCCAATGCCACTCCGGATGTTCCTGGCCTGAGCGCCTGGCTCCCTGCCCCTGTGTCAAGACCCCTGTCCACCTGGGTCCAGCCTGCCCAGAATCGACTTGTGCCCACTGAGCAGCTCAGTGGCATTTGTGGGAGCCTGCCTGATCCCTGCTGGCCAGCCCTTCACACATACACCGGTGCATGCGCAGCAGGCAACACCTAGCACCCTCAGGGAGGAAGCCCAAGAGTGAGTGGTTGATAGGAGCCTAGAAGAAAAGGACACCCGCATTGTCACTCAGGAATGTGGTGGCTGTGGGCTTGGCAGCTCCCTCCCACTGTTAAATAATCAAAATGCAGACAACACAGGTGTCAAAAAGGAATGTGAGCTGGGATGCTCATTCCCAGGCTCTGTCCGCCTCACACGCCTGAGTTTCCGCTAGCATCCTGCAGGGCCACGCTGTGGAAGACCATGTGAGCTCCCACTCCCTGGTTCTTAGGGAGCACAATCGCAGCCATCCAGGCCTCACTTCCAGAAGGACAGCTGAGCTCTGAGCTCCACACACATCGGAGCAGTTGGCCACTGAGCAAGGACGGGTCCTGTCAGAAAGTGCGATGGCCCGACAGCTTTGACCCTTTTTCTGCTGTGTTATCTCATTCTTGTTACTGATTTACAGGAATTTATGTATTTTTTTATTACTGTCTTGAAATTCATAACTGTGAAATAAAGCACCCGATCCCCTTCCAAGAGTCTTCTTGGGAAAATAAAGGAGTTGGAGGGATTTGAGGGCAGGATGCTCCTCTGTGTCCAGAGCCCAGCCAGTACGTAGGGTCCAACCCACCCCACCTGGCCCACCTCAGAATGTGTACCTGTGTGCCACACACACACACACACACACACACACACACACACACACACAGAGTTGCTACCTCGTGCTCATTCTTAACTTAATTTTACACCTAAGTTGCACATTTCTGACTCACATTTTGTGGCCTGTTTCCATGAGAAGCTTAGTGTGGCTTTGAGAATAAAAGATATTTACTCAGCACCCCAGCACCCCAGCACCTCAGTACCCCAGCACCTCAGTACCCCAGCACCCCAGCACTCTAGTACCTCAGTACCCCAGCACCCCAGCACCCCAGCACCTCAGTA